ACTATGCTTGCACATTTCTGCTAGTTTATGTGTAGAGATGTCCTGGAACTTTCTTACAAGATACAAGAATAAAATGACATCATTGTCTTTAGTCTTAGAAAATTCTTGCCATATAGACCTTATTACTTTTTCTTCTTCTTCTTCTTCTTCTTGTTTCTAGTATGTAGGCTTTAAAGCCTGATTCTTCTTCAATATTAGCCTCCTAAATTGTTTATATTGTCGCACCATCTTTTTCTTGGACGTCTCCCTGATATTCGTCGAAGTATTTTCATCTGTCATCCCTTCATGTAACTAGGTTTGCACCAAATACGACCACATCAGACTTGAAGCGGCTTTTAGACCTCAATTTTAAAGATGTACAGTTACAGTTAAACATGTGTGAGTCTCATCCATCTAAACACCCTGAACTTTATACGTCAATGAAAGTTACCATCAGAAGAGATGAATTAAAAAAAGCTTGGAAGAGGGAAGTATGGCCATCTGGTACCCTCGTGTCTCATTTTTTAGTCAAAACGAGGATGCCAACAAGGCAGATGAATCCTCAAAATCAGAGTTAATGATACAAACACTGCAGACCCAAAATCTAAACATTTTCTATCAAAATGTACGAGGCCTACGCACTAAAACAAGTAATCTATATACCAATGTTCTTAGTAAAGATTTTGATATAATCCTATTAACTGAAACATGGCTTATAGATGGAATTTCCAATGAAGAACTTTTTGATAATCGCTACATAGTCTTCCGCAAAGATAGGGCTAGTGGCAAGATATTGGATGGTGGAGTTATGGTAGCATTGAAAAAGAAATTTATTGTAGAAAGTATTAAAGTTAATTATAATATAAATTAATGTTGAGTACTTGTTACTTAAGGTAAGGTTTAAAACATATTCTTTTTATGTCTGTGTATATATACCTCCTGGGGTAAGGTTAGATATTTATGAAGAACTTTTAGAGCTTTATAACCATTTATTGTCAGAAAATATTAATACTATCATATTTGGAGACTTTAATATTACTTAAAATAACTTAAGTTGTGAAAAGAGTAGCTTGCTTAAAGAATTTCAAAATCTAAATAATTTAAATCAATATAATACAATTTCAAATTGTAAAAATAAACTGCTTGATCTTATACTGTCAAACATATCCATAACGAATCTAATTAGGTCTGGGTCTCCTTTGGTACCCGAAGATTATTATCACCCGGCACTAGAAATGTTACTAGAATTTAAAGATAATTCATGCACTGAGAGTAATATACAACAGTCTTACAGGTATGATTATGCCAGGGGGGACTTTAATTTTTTGTATCAATTAATAAGGCACACTGACTGGTCTTGTATAACTGCTACAGATTGTATTAATCAATTATACGATAAATTGTATGACTGCATTGAACAAGCCATGCCAAAGAAAATTATTAAAAATAGACAAAAACAGAAATATCCAGCTTATTTTAGTATAGACCTTATTAAAAAAATCAGACAAAAAAACAAACTAAGCAAACATATAAAAATCTATGTGCTAGTGGGAAAGTAGGAGTAGGGAAAGCTAGTGCTGTCGATAACAATAAATTCAAGAGTCTTCGAAATACTATTAAAAAGTAAATCAAAAATGAATTTATTCAGCATCAAAATAATATTGAAGATAACATTTTGCATGACCCAAATAGTTTTTGGACATTCATAAGGAGTATGAAACAGCGGTTTTCCTCACGAGATGTCTTTAAATGATCATACATATACAGGCCCTTAGGAAATTGCAATGGCTTGATCTCATCATTTTAGCTCAATTTATCAGGTATCATCCACTAATCAGGGTAGTTCACAGGGATCTTTTAACTTTTCAGTTATTAGTGAAGAAGATGTGAAGAATAGTATAAAAAATTAAAGCCAAAAAATGCCACTGGTAGTGATAATATCACTGCCTTTATCTTTAAAGGATGTTCTGATATATTTGTAAAACCATTATCACATCTATTTAATCTAACACCTTTCCAGACAAACTCAAAGAGGCTACCATTACTACATTTTTTAAATCAGGTAATAAAAACAATATAGAAGACTATCGTCCTATAAGTATACTTAATTCCCTGGCTAAAATATTTGAATCTATTCTCTATATGAATATACTGAAAAATTTTGAAAATGAATTTGCTCCAGAACAACATGGTTTCTTGCCTGAGTTATCCACAACTAGTAATCTGTGCATTCTGTCTAATTTTGCTAGTGAGGCAATAAATAATAAACTCCAATTAGATTTAATAATGACTGACTGCTCAAAGGCATTTGACATGGTTGACCATGGGATTCTTTTATCGAGATTGAATGAGTTTGGTTTTTCGCATGATGCTTGTACATTTATAAAATCATATGTGGAATCAAGATTTCAACGAGTCAAAATTGGTAGGTGTTTTTCGGATAAATTTCAGGCTACATCTGGTGTCCCCCAATGGAGCAACTTAGGGCCTTTGTTTTTCTTAATTTTTGTCAACTCACTACCACAATCTCCTAAATTTTCTTCTAGTTTAGTCTATGCTGATGATTTTAAGCTTTTTAAAACTATACATACTCCAAATGGTTGTCAGTTACTACAGGAGGACCTGACGTCAGTTGTGGAATGGTTTGGAGACAACAATATGATCTTGAATATTAAGAAGTGTGGAGTCATATCCTTTACTCGCAAAATAGACTACATTCAAAATAATTATAGAATTGACAATTGTGTACTATCAAGGAAAACCAAATATAAAGATCTGTGAATATACCTACAGGCTAACATGAAATTTAATTAATGTTAATAAGGCCTACAAAATATTGGCATTTGTAATAAGAAATTCCAAACACTTTAACATAAACACAACCATTAGACTATATAACGCTTTAGTCAGACCAAACTTGGAATATGTATCAGTGGTATGGACTCCTGAAGCCGAAGTTCATATTAACATATAGAAAAAGTACAAAAGAGATTTCTAAGGTATTTATACCTTAAGAAATACAATGTGTATACTCACCTTACGCCATCAAAAGAGTTGCTTCAAATATTTGGCTTGCAGTCATTGGAGCAAAGAAAAAAATATGCATTGTGTTATGTTTATTTATAATATTATTAACAATTTTACATATAAGACACGTGGTTTGATCAACTTTATTAGATTTCATGTGTTAAAGGTCAACCTAAGGGTAAACAGTAATGACCTATTTTCTTGTAGTCCATATAATTCTTGTGCAATAATAAACTATATGCAATATCAGTGTAATGCGCTAATAAAGATGTGTGATATAGACCTCTTTAACTGTTGTGTAAGAAATATTTAAAAATGTTATGAATAGATAAGTAATGGACTTAATTTTAAAATTTTATTAAGTTGTGTCTTTTTTTAATGTGTTTACTTTCTGTATTTTTATTTTGTACTTGTGTGCATATTGTATTTTTTGTATTTTTTGTGTGTATATTGTTATACCAAGTAATGAGCACTCTTACATGTAATTACTACCTAGGTAGTGTTTGTAAGTTTTAATAAATAAATAAATATATAAAATAAATCTCTGTTGTTCCTTACAGTCGTCTCGTTTTAGATGTGTCAAGTCTTGTCTCCGCTGTATATGTTAATATAGGTCTAATTGTTGCTTTATAGATTCTTGGTTTTGTGTCTTGTATTGGGTGTTTGTTCTTACAGATTGTGTCATTAAGAGATCCCGCCTCTTAACTTGCCTTTGTTGTCGTACTTGTTCTTCAATATCTCCGTAACTAGTTATATCTATTCCCAGATGTCTAATTCTTGTTTCCTGCTTTTTTATTTTCCCATCACTTTCGATTTTACACCGTAATGGGTATTTAGATGTTGTCATACATTTGGTTTATTCTGCTAATATTATCATATTGTATTCTGCTGTTGTATTGAAGATATGTGATAATCTTTGGAGCTCGTCTTCTGTCTCGGTGATTAATGCTGCGTCGTCTACATAACATAATATTTGGATTTCTTTGTTCCCCATTCTGTAGCTATGACCTTTACGTACTGCTTGTATTATTTCGTCCATTATTATATTAAAGAGAAGTGGGCTTAACGAGTCACCCTGTCTGACTCCGCTTTGTACTGGTATACACTGTGTTAGTTTTCATTTTATCATTGCCTGTATTCGATTATGGAGGTAAATGTTTTAGATGGTTTGTATAATATTGATTGGGACCTGATTACAAGCAATTTAAATAAGCTCTTGGGAGTTTACATGAACATATTACTTATGAACATCTCTGATACCTATATGGAGGTATTTATAGTTTTCCTTATAATATTTTTGTGGTATTTAGATCTCTTCCTGTTGATTTTACAGGTTTGGCTCCAAGCTGTTGATCAGTATGCTATGGCTGGTATGATAAAACTGTTTGCCATTCTTAATTTCGCTTTCAGGCTTAACTTTAGTATTTCTTCCAATAAGATGACTTAGCGTGCTTCTTAATAGCTTGCTCTTACTGGAAGCGCTGTTGACATATGGTTATTATGTCATTCTTTTGCCCATTGACACTCCTAAATATTTTGCCTCATTGGACCGTGTTATCAATGTATTAAACATCCTTACTTAACCATCTGGACCCTGAAGGAATACTTTTTAGAACATTACTGACTGTGGTTTCTCTGGGTTTACTGCGGTTTCCATTGAATCTTCCAGCTGTTTTATCGCATATTGTAGGCGTCTTCTCGCTAGGTTTGGATCCAAACTTCTCGCTGCTATTGCTGTATCATCGGCATATAGACTAAGGATAATTCGCGGGGTAATTGGTGTGTCTGGTGTTATATATGGTATACAGAAAGGGTGACGGCACTCCTTTCTGTGGCATTTAAGCCTCAGTCAGTCCGAATTCAGACAAGATGTATCATATCTAATACCAGACGTTTAGGATAGATAACCACATGGGAAAACTTGAAATAGGTAATAAAGAATAATACTACACTTCATGGTTTTAATAGTTATAAATGATAAAAATAAATCGATTGTAAATAAAGTTATATATCTATTTCATACTAGAGAACAGATCTTTTTTTAACAAGTACAGATAAGTATTGTCACGTCAAAATTTATTGTCGAACACATTTAGAGGCCTTTATTGTAGTAAACGCATGAGGGAGCCTTACGTTGGGCTTTAATTTGTTCCTAAAAATAAAGAGAAATATATTAGTTGTTGGTCTAAGAACTATTTGTTACTTTTTTTGTAGAGGCAAAATGTACTATACATACATTATTTTTATACTATTGTATATTGGAATGAAAATAACTTTTTTTTAAGTAAAAAAGCCGTATTTCTAAACATTTCTCAAACGTTGGGAAAAGTCTGACATTGAGATTTTAGCTACAAATTAAAAAGTACCCTAAACAGTTATTATTTTCTTCTTGTCAAACATTGAATATCAAATAAACAGTTCTGTCTAGAATTCAATGTAAAAAAGATGGAAATTTCAGACGGTAACAGATTTATATAATAAAAATTTTAAAACAATCTTTAAAATTAGGAAACAATGAGAAAAAGTTGGTCCAATGCGTCCCGAATATGCATCCCTTAACGAGACAGTTTGACGCAAAGAAGATGTCATTCTACAACTTGTATCTTTGTTTTGACAAATGTACAACATACTGTTACGAACATGCATTCGACGTAGCCCATTTAACGGTTGCATCTCGAGACGATGAGAAGCTTCCAGAGATGTATCGACTGCGGGAGAGATCGGCCCGCCAAACATACGAATTAGACGTGGACCAGTGGCGGCCGGTCAGGGTCGGCAGGGTCGGCAGTGCCGACCCACATCTTTATAGATATTATAGACTTTTTTAATATTTAATTTAATCAGTATTTCAATAAATAATTGTGGCAGGTAATCAGTTGATGTCATTTGTTTTTGTGAACTAAAAAAATATCTGTGAGATAATAAAGACTAAATTTTATTCATGATTCATGATTATTCGATATCGAAGACATTCATCCGCCTATGAATTCTTAAAAAGGCACGTTTTGTTTTTTCGGCTAGCCGATCCCAACCTTGACTTTACTTAAAAATCAACGGAATATTGGTTGATTAGCAACCAAATATACATTTCTTTCCATATGAACTTAATTACCAAGTACGGCGAATTTAAATTTGCCGATGTTTCATTTGGATTGGTGATTGGTCGCGAACTGTACATTGCGAGCGTGGGACGAAATGTTATTTTATATATGTATTGTCTATTCGCTTAGCTAGGGCATATTTTGACAGACTCATTGTAGGAAACCTACAACACAACAATTCCTACTTCTCAGTATAAATAGCTCAAGTATACTACTATTGCAGACTTCTTTCTTTGAAAAAAAGAAGAATTATTCTAAATAGTGGAAGTGTATACTAAACCCATCAAATTTTCCCTGTATATTTAAAATATAATATTTGAATTGTTACAATTTAAAATATTGTAGTAAATATTTGTATTATTCGCGTTGTTTATTTAATTTAATACAGTTTTATTGTTTTATTATCTTTGTTTAATTCTTTTGTTAGTTCTATTCGGTTAATTAGTTAGTTATATTTTAAATTTTATTATTATGGATAGTCAAAGTTTTCCATTTGTTCCATCAACTAATGCGTTGGTAAGTTTTTCTTAATAAATATGATAAAATGTTTTTTAAAAAGTTTTTTTTTTAAGTTAATATTTTTAGATTAGTACGGATGCTGTTCCTAGATTACAAGGTAATAAAACTGCACAAAGGTTTATTCAAAATGCCTACCATTTTTTTTTACCGAATAAAAACCCTGTTGAGGTAAGTTGATCATTAAAATGTATTTTATCGAATTATGTAAATGTTGTAAATACATAAGGAAATTGCTGTGTCTTATTCTTATTTAACCTCACTTTGACTTCTTAATTTTGTAGAATTTATTCCCACTTTTTTATTTTGTACAATAAATAATTTTATTATTTGTTATCAATACATTATACGGTGTAAATAAATAAATATTGATTGTCGGCAAAGTTCTATTTTATTTAGTTTTGTTTACATTAATATTGACTAATAGCACGTATGCTTGGTTGTATAGTATTTTCCAGCCACTTTGAGTCTGTCAAAATGTTACTAACTTCGAAAAAAAATAATTACTAAAATCACTAGACAGTTCGGACTGGGAATAGCGAACCGGGTATAGTAAAGTGAAGTCCACAAGTAATCTACGTTCCTGTGAAGTGATATTCAGTGCACGAACTAGTCTTTCTTTTTGTGATTTATTTTTATTTTCTAAAGTAATACTGTGATACGTTACGTCTGCCGTAAATAGTTAAAGGTTAAATGGTTTTTTGACATATTAGAAGTTTTTTTTTTAATTAAAGTGTAAACAAATTCAGTTAAATTAACCTAAAAAATGCAAGCCATGGGAGAAACTGTAAGTATTGATAAGTCTGATATTGTAAATTATATTTTGCATAATGGGTTTTCATCTATTCCATACGAAGAACAAATTGTTATTAAAAATAAGGGGCGTCCTTTGCCTAAAATGTCCCGACTTATAAATATTAGTGCGGGAAAGGGAAGTAATAGATCATTTTCAGATAATTGGTACAGCAAATACTTATGGTTTACCGGGAGTGAAATAAAAAACAAACTTTTCTGTTGGCCTTGCATTTTATTTTCGACAAATAGGGGCAAACATCAAAATCCGTGGTGTGAATCTGGTTATGATAATTTAAAGGAATTATTTAGGGCTTTACATAAACATGATATTTCGAAAGATCATACTTACAGCCAGATTAAATTAGATTTATTTGGAAAACAAAATATCTATGTTTCATTAGATAATGCCCAACGTGAAAATGCTATTAAACATAACGAAATTGTAAAAAATATTCACGCAGTTTTACGTCGTTTAATTGATATTGTAATTTTTTTAAGTTGTCAGGAATTATCTTTTAGGGGACATGATGAATCGGAGCATTCGTTAAATCAAGGTAATTATAGAGAACTAATAAAAATGTTTAAGAAATACGATTTTGAATTTTCTAGTTTACTTTCTGATTCGAAGATATTTAGCGGTGTATCTAAAACAATCCAGAATGAATTAATAGAATCAATTAGTTACATTTTGAGTAACGTTATTGAATCTGAGATTCAGGAAACCATTTGCTTTTCACTAGAAGCAGATGAAACTACCAACATATCATGTCATTCACAATTATCAATTGTTGTTCGATACGCGTTACATGGTAATATCTATGAGAGGTTTTTAGGTTTTACAGACGTGAGTAAAAGCCATAAGGCAGAACATATTTTTGGTGTTTTAAAGGACAGATTAAAATTTTTTGATATCAAAAATAAATTGGTAGGGCAAACTTGACGGCGCTGCCGTGATGTCTGGTGAATTAAATGGTCTCCAGGCAAAAGTTAAAACTATTGCACCGCAAGCTTTATTTACTCATTGTCATGCGCATAGAATGAATTTAGTTTTGCAAGATACATGTAAAAAAATTAAAGAATGTCGTCTTTTTTGGCAGTTTAAGCGGATTTGCTTCATTTTTCTCAAGCTCGCCTAAACGGACTAATGTTTTAGAACGGTTTGTTTGGAAAAAAATGTCAACAGTTTGTCAGACGCGATGGAATGTTAAATCTCGGTTAGTTTTCACTTAGCAGATTTTCGTGAACAGCTTTTGGAAGTTTTTGATTTTATTATTGAATGTGACGATTTTGAAAATGATGATATCTCGATCCGTGAAGCAATCGGTTTGAAAACTTTATTAAATAATTACTCTTTTAACATACTTTTAAATATTTTTAAGAAAGTGTTTACCCAAACCGATTTGATATTCAATGTTGTTCAAAATCAGTTAACTGACATTACTCATTCCAAAAACAGAATAACAAGACTGGTGCAAAATCTCAGAGATTTTCGTAATGATAGTAATGTCCAGTATATACGCAGTGACGTTTTGGACTCGCTTGATATTTCCGAACCCCCAAAAAAAAAGACAAAGGCATGACACAGAAACAGATCTCAAAAAACGAGTATATTTTGAAATTTTGGATACTATTATTATGCAAATAGATACTCGTTTTTCGAATTTTGAAGATTTGCAAATTTTTGACCTCTTTTACGATTCAAAATTTAAAAGTTACGCCAAAGAAGTTCCAAGATATTTATTAGACAGGTTAATTAAAAATTATCCATCATTCTTTAATAAAATAAAATTAGAAAATGAATTAAAAGTTTTATATGCTGATCCAAATATTTTCGGAAGATGGGATAAGTTATAAGATATGTATAATTTTATATACTGCAATTCTTTACAACAAACTGTTACCGAAATTAATAAATTATTGTCATTAATTCTCTCATTACCACCAACGTCTGCCTCAAATTAACGAGATTTCTCTTGCCTCAAAAGAATCAAAACTTATTGTCGAAATACCATGAAACAAGAGAGAATGTCAAGCTTGTCTCAAATGTCAATAGAAAAAAAAAACTTTTAAAATCTCTCCAAAACTCTAATAAATTTTACGATGACGTTATTACCCATTTTGCTACTTCCAAACAACGTAGACTAGAGTTAATTTATAAACATGTTTAGGTTCTAAATTTATAGAAAAAAACAAAAAAAGAAAACAAAAAACAAGAAAAAAAAAAAATCTCCTATGATGATTGAAGTCTTTATTAGACGGTATACCTATCTGAAGAGACAAAAAATACCTTGCCGACCTTGTCTCTCAAGCCACGAGCCGCCACTGACGTGGACTACTCCAGAATTTTTGTACATAATAACTTTTATATATAAGTAGCTCCGATATTAGCTAAGTTCAGTTGTTAAGATACTATCGAACTGTAAGCTTATAAATAAATATATCTACACAAATTCGAACCGCTCGTTTTATTTAAAAACGGTACAATACCATGAAAACGAACTAGCTAGGGAACTATACAACAATGATCTAGCCACAAGAAGACTAGAAATAGCCTGGCTCCAAAACCTCCTCTACTTCAAGGCTAATCAACATTCACGGATAAGGTAAAACATTGATGGATGTCTTCTTTTATGACTCAACACCTGTAACACATTTCTTCTTCTTCTTGTAGTGTCTATCCGTTTCGGATGTTGCGACAATCATGGCAATCTGTATTTTGCACATTGCTGCTCTAAAAAGA